TGTCCTTTGTACACATAGATGTAGACTGCATCGTGTGAAAGGCTTGTAACGTTTTCCACTTGCTATCAATGGCCAGTCGGAGTTTAAACAAAGTCTTGCAAAAGTCGCTGTAAAAATCACCATTGCTTTTCAAACAAGAATTAACTTACTGGTCGATTCTTCGCGAAAACACTCGGTGTTGTGGATTTTAACACGTACTATAAATGCAGTATTGGCATTTACTTCATGATCGCGTAAACGTGGACGTAGTCTAACCTCCAAAAAGTGGCCAAATGAACACGATCGTTGAAAACCGAGCTGATCCAAACACAAGCTGTTTTGAATTGGTCAACCCCCCTTCGCTGGTAAGACATCTCGCTGTAGAGTTCCGCAGCAACTCGACTTAATTCAGTTTATGTCACGACATACTGCCAAGTAACTGTCAGCTGAAGTTTGACCGAAGTTTGACCGATCCTATGATTTCTTTACACGAGCGTCTTCACTGGTTTTCTAGCGTTAATGATCAGATTTACTGATGTACATTACCACAGAATGCTTTACCAGGCATTCATGTATAACGAGTACAGTTGTCAGTGCATGAAAACTGAGAATCGCTGATGTTCAAAATCTGATTCTGATTTACATTTTTCGTTATAATTGCTAAGGTGACATATGGAGTAATGGGTTAGGAGAGAGTTAAAATATTTTAGCATTCATTCCAACATGTCAGGCACGTTTAACTTTGATTTCCACTACATTTTTTAACCCTGCTACAAAGTCGATTAATACTTTTCCAGATCTAAAATGGACACACATACGTAATTTAGACCTAGATATAGGCCTAATTTGGAATGTAAAAATCACTGCAGTAAAAAAAATATCTAGTGAAAGCGACCATTAAAAACGTAGCATTTAATCAGAATTTCTTTGAAGGACCGATGTCTTGTCACCTCCTTTCCAAGACAAGCAGTAACGTACCGTATAACCAAGCTGCTGTGTATAGTAAGAATTCAATAGCTGTGTTTGTGCTCACGAATTTAAACTCCCATTCCGTCATATTTTTTTTATTAATACGAAATATTCCAGATGCACCTTTGAAATCAGTGAATAAAGCTAGGAATTCATACTCACATGTGCTTAGAGTATAATATGCAATCAGAATGCATAGCATATCTACGCCTAACCAATTGTACCATGCGAGAGTAAACGACATCTACCATGCTTCCACGTTCCAGTAGGTTACAGAAAGATGAACGACTCGAGAATGTTTCATTAGTGTGAATAAATTAAGTGTAATTTTCAAAAGTAACATTGCTATTGTACAATGAAATATAAGCTCCCAATATTACATCGGCAAAACAACAAATCGACCAATTAACAGTCCGCAGAGTACGCGGCTCAGATCTGTGAATATTGCTCTAATTTTTCAGTATCAGGGTCTGCCACGTGTCCTACAGCTTACACGCGCTTAACATAAGCGAACGGCGGACTGGGGGAAACTGGTTTCATCGCGATAACATTATTTCCTTTTTTCCAGACACGTTAGACCTTAATTGTATGAGTTCTAATCTAATTTGGTCCTACTTCGGTGATATAGTACTGCTGCACAGGAAACATTGTTGTTCGTTGCGGATCTGAAGTATATGGTAAATGTTGTGAGTGCGTTCTATTTAGGTTACCCTTGTATTTTTGGTGACGCGCTTAATATGTGTGCTAAAATTTTCATCTTGATGTAGTCGAATATTTCACGCTGAGCAAACCAAAAGAGCCGTGATGTAGTCGCCTCACATCTTGGGGTAAATTCTTAAAGGAATTTTTAAAAATGCATGCCACATTTTTCAGATACAACGGCGGTGTAATGTGAAATTGTATATTATTTAACGCGGTTAGGTTATTCATTCAGTACTTACTCCGATTATCTGTCAGGATAACCCACCATAGCCTGAATTTTTCGTCCGATTAAAGAAATATTTTCTTAGTTTTGCAGTTCTTAGGTTTAACTTAGGTTTCTACTTTCTAACCAGGGGGATTTCACTTCCACAAATAACCAAAAGCCGTCCTGTGTTCCTGTTCAACTTAAGGAGTGCCGAATAGCATCTTATTTTATCAAGAAAAAATGCGTTTAGACTTGTAGATTAGCTCCTGATCTACCAGAATGCCAGGTAATCCTCACGGATTGAAGTAATGTTAATTCCAACATGCACGCAATTAATAAACCGGCTGTAAAGTTTAACTTGAAAAAGCGAAGCCATCACTGAATATTAAGATCATTCAGCAAATCAATACTAAATTAAAACGTGTTTGTCTGACTATTTGCAGTGGCTTAGATTTTACACTGTCTTATGAAGATATTGTATTTGTTTTAATGAAGTAAAACAATATCGTTTATTAAACGTACAGTGTGCTTCTAAGGATCCCAAAATCTTTCCCCATGTTGTGCTTTATACTTGAATGTTGAAACTATGAATTACGACATCTTTTCATGACGAGTGCTACGAAGGCATTCAGATTTAAACATATTGCCACATATAATTTATGTAGAATATTTATTGTTGTAAGGCCCTGCTTTTCTGACGCAAATCCTGTCATTTAGAAAAATCTAATCAAATCCTCCGTAGGTTAAATCAATACATAACCCCTCATACAGAAGACTAGTTATGTATAAACGGAATACACAAAAGTCTAAAATGCAAATCGTAAAAAGGTTTTCGCGCCACGCCCAAAAATGGCTTCACTTCATTTTTTTCCCTACGTTTTAAATTTAATATACGTCTTTAATTAGGTACACTCGTGTAACAGTAACACTAACACAGCTGTGAAGAGGCCAGGCTCTTATATGTTATTTACGCGTATATGTGTGTGATGGATATAACACAAAGCTTTGCAGATTAATTTACGTAAATAATTAAAAAAAAAAAAAAACTTAAAATGCATCTATCGCGAAACGCAATGCAGATGATTACTACACAAGTAATCAACTCTTCCTTGAAATTCGCAATTCATAAAATGTCCAAATAGTTTAGAAACCAGTAAAACTGGAAGTTTTGTCTAAGCTTTTGGTTAAATTTCCACGCAATCTGTTTAAACAAAGAAGATGTACGCATGTTGTTGCCAGGACATTTATTGTGAAGCCATACATTTCATACATACCCATCTTAAATAGTGTCATCTGCGGGAAAAAGGCAATGCCCAGGTCGAAAAAGAAATCTGCAGTGTTATGGATTCTTAAACCCGGCGATATGAATCCAGTGTCTGGCTCCCTCGTAACGCTGCAGTCTTTGCGAAAAGGAAGGCGTCGGTGACGGCATAGATTTTTTATTAAAAGCAACAAAAGGCATTTGTCACTTGCAGTGTTACGATAAAAACAACTGAAGTAAATAAAATATTCTTAAGAGAGAATGTCATTCAGTGCCGCTCCATTGATCATTCATATCTCCCCGCATTCTGCTCGGACAGCCATGGGCTTCACCGTTGCATTAATTTTCCTCAGCACAACAACCCACCCCCATCCTCGTATCTTTCTGTTCTTTCCCGCTGATCCTTTAGCCAAATTGGGAACAATCCAGCGTCCTCAAAAACCTGCAATCCTTTCACCGAGGGTTGAAATGGCGCTCTGCTGATGTTCAGATGAGATCCACCTTTGCTATAACATTCAGATATTGCCTTTTTCCCTTGACTTGTTACTATTTTTGTCTGTTTTCCTTTTGCTTCCCGAAAGGGGCACCTTGAAACCGTTCAGCCAGGACTCGTGAAGGGTAGTTTGAAACCGCACACGAAATGTTTTTTTTAATTAACTATTTTTGTTACATCGAAATATTTCACAAAGGGTTCAAAACATATGCATAGATTTAAAATATGCGTAGCTATAACTGCAAATCATTAATAAAACATCACTAGTTTGTGTCTGTTCTTATTTTTGGTACAAACGTCACAGTCCAAGCAGGCCATTCCCAGCTTGTCTTCATTTTGGTAAAAAAAAAAAAAAAAAACACTTTTGCTTAATTTTATTCTATTAGACTTAATCTGAGGCCACTGTTTACGTAATGCATTTAATAGTATACGCTTTGTAGATCGTGTTTATGGGAAGTTGATGATTGCCTTACAAGAATCATTTTCCTTATGAAAGGTTTATGAAAGGCATTACACGTATGAAAAATAATAATAATGGCTATTAGATTATACGGGACCAACACTGAGAGTGTGCCTTTTCAAGGAATTTTTTGAACGGCGTAAACACTTAGCAAGGAAATACCTTTGGTGTAGGTTGGTAATCGGAATCGCGGAAAATCAACGCAGCTATGTACGCCAATGAAAAATGCAAACATACACTCCAGATGAAGACGCAAAATCTAATATAGGTTAGACTTGCATTTTTGCAGTTTTTGATATACAAAGAGCCTGCTTAGTTATTTATAAACGTTTGGCCTACATTGGAATAAGAACATTCCTGCAATATCGAAGCGTCTCTGTTTCAATTGTTTACTCGATAGTGTAGGTTGGCCACATACATTCTTGAAACGTTGTCAGGCGTAGCTTAATATGATTAAACGAGTCTTTCAGAATTATAAGTACGTTTACCAAACATTTCGGTTAAATTATTCTCTTCTTGTGACGAATCATGTGCTACGGCTAATTATGTTTCAACAACACGTCAGCGCGCTACGTTACAGTTTTAAAATGAAAACATTTAAGTTTAAAAAACAAGAAGCGACATCTGACAACAAAACCTTATTTAAAAATGTACCCTCTCTCTCTATATTTTTTTGATAAATCAAGTTTTTTGTCCGAACAGCATCGAGAAGCGTAGCACTGAACTATGCCCAGGTTCGTATTCCTCTGTTTTGATCAGCCGAGCTTGAATAGAAGAGCTGCCTTGAAACTGTCTTCCTAAAATTTCTCACTGCTTGTTTTGCTCCCTCGGTCTATAAGGAAGGGTACCTTGAAACAGTACAGCCTCCTTGGTCCATAATTGGTTTTATAGGGCTGGCGAGGAGCCAAAGTGTTTACATTGAAATGATCGGCACTTGAATTGGCCAATCGCTGGCGCCGTTGCAGAATTTGTCTGGCTGGGCTGAAAGAGGCGGAGCTTGTAAAACAATGCTTGTTTCATTGCCTAACAGTTTACCGAGATCTACAGAGAGGGACTTGCAAGGGTCTTTTTTATACTCAGTGCTGGGCTACATGTTATCTGCGGATGGTCTGTAAATGGAGTATCCAATTTTTTTCTTGCAGACTTGTGGATTTAACATAAGCATTAGTTTTTTTTTTAAAAAGTGTGGCTCGCCTCTTCAAGGAAGAACTCGGTGTTTTACGACAGTAAAACGCTCTCGTTTTGTAAAACAAAACCCTTGGATTAACCATTACAGTTATAAATGCTTCATAGTATCTTAAAAAGGCGGGCAACTGTTTACAAAATGGAACGTGACTCTGAGAATAGTTTGCAAATTGCAAAATATATCATCGATATTCTGTGAGGATCAGGCCTTTTCAAGATGGGACGTCTCTTTTGAAGAAGTTTTTTTTCGTATATTCTTAGGTAAGTTTAAAAAGTTTCAAACGAGTCGCATATGAGCCGGCGTACTTGGGAAAACTGGGGTTTGGGATTCGCTTTGATTTGCAGTTTTTATCGCTATGTCGCGTTGATAGATTTTTAATAAGGGAAACCGTGAAAAAAACAGTCACGTTTTGTGGCTGTTGTTAACGAGTTACTTTTAATTGTGTTGAAATGTATCAATGGACCATTGCGAATTGTCTGTAGAAATGGACATCGATGAGTAGGAGGTAGATTTTTTAGCGTATATTTTGGGGAAAATACTAAACATTGACTGGATAATCTAGGATAATTTCTCGGTATTGCTTATTGTAAAACCCGTTTAAAAGCTGACTATAGGTCTAGTAACAGCATTACTTAACCGCTTAAGTCCTGTTTTTAGGAAAAGTAAAGCGAAATATTGGCTTTATTTCTGATATATTTATTAGTTCTTTTGAACTGTTACGTATTTTAGTGCTTTTTGAAGAACTCCGCGCAGTTATCTTAACATAATAAATACCGCCTTCGGCGCTTTCTAAACAACTAAACTGCTTAATTTATTGTATGCATGTGCTTTAGTCTCTCGGAATCATCAGTTAGCAATTTTGTTTGTGTGTGTGTGTGTGTCCGGGGGGGGGGGGGCTTGCAAAACACGAAAAAATACGAACCGGCGCAAACTGTAGTCTACGAAATCTGCATTTATTAGCAGTGAATCCGGTTTCAAAATGCAGGGTAATCTTTTCTATACCTTTTATTTATACATAATATTATATAATGTCGATTGCAGTCTAGCTGAGATATCCACCTTCTCAATGAAAAAACAATTCGTGTACACTTCTAATGATAACGCCACCATATATAATTTGCTTTAAAAATTCAGTCTTGTTGCAGGTTTGGTTTATATAAAAACCGAAATGAACGAATTCTCAATAGGTAAATTAAGCCTAGACTGTGTAAAAGGGAAAGGATCGTGTTATACGCGAAGCGCTTATTCTGTAGCATTTAAAGGCTGGACCTTGGTTAAGAATTTATATGGCATATTGTAAATATTTTGTTTTTGGAGAAAAAAATAATCTGCTTTACATAAATGACTCTTAATGCCGACGAGGACACGTATATTAAAATACTTAAAAAAAATTGTCTTCCTACGCCTATTACGATTGTCGTGTTATATAACTGGAAATTCTTTTGTCGTCGTTTTTCGTTTATTGTGGAAAAATGTTCATTAGTTTTTCTTTTCTTTTTTTAGGGCAGCAAAATGCCGGATACAGAGAGTGATGTACCGGGATATGTCGGGACTGTTTAACGGTGGATTTTTTTCTCTTTTTTGGGGAAATTCTGATCGGAATATTTCTTTTATCACGTTAGCCTGGTCTGTATAATGGATGGCCGAGATTTCGGACCCCCCAGATCAGTTCACGAACCCCCTCCTTTGCTTTCGGGGCTGGCTATGGAGTCGCACCGGCTCGGTGCGGCCGCTGGAGCCGGCAGAATACCTCCGTCCTCCGGCCACTTAGGCGCGGGGCACCCGGCGAATCTATATACTGGAAAATATTTGCCAACTGCCATTAACCTCCACTCTCATCACGGTAAGTATTTATTTTTATTACTTAAAATGCGCTCTATGCTGGTATATTTTAATAAATTAAAGTATATCTAGGGAATTGAAAGAGGAATCGATTGATAACTGCTTTTTCACAGTCACGAAAAAGAACGATATGTCTGGAGTTCTTTCATGACTGTATATTTACTTTTGGTTGTGTAGTTTACTGAATGTTGCGAATGCATTGCATTTATAGCGAGCAAAACAAGTGGATTGGTGTCAAACTTGTGTTTCTACGCATTAAGTTAAAATGCAGGTATCTGCGTATTTGATTTTCCAGTTATGCAGCCGACTTCAAGTGCTGTAAATTACAATAAGTAATTATCTGTGAATTCTTTCATTTTTGTGTACTTAAAGGGAGGCTGACAGAGTATTATTTCCTTTAGTGAATCATTTTATGAATTGCATAACCCGCAACCCCAACCGAACTTGTGCGTCTGTGCTACCTATGCAAAGAATTGAATTTATTCTCTGCTTGTATTGAGATCTTTGAGAAACCGAAAAGAAAATGTGGATGATTTGAAAAATGTCATCGATTTGTTAATCCGCACAGTTTGTAATACAAATGTCTATTGCGGCCGCTTTTATTTTAGTATATCGTGGACTAGGTGCGATGTGAGTGAAGTTACGGGTACATATTCGAGGAAATGGCATAACGCAGATGATCTTATTTGTTTTATCAGGAATACTTTACCCGTCATTTTCGATTGCGGTCATCTTTAAAATATAATTTAGAGAAAATCGCTCTGGATACAGGGCAAACAGTTTGACGTTTAAGTGGTAAGCGTAGGCGTTATTGTAAGCACCATCTAAAATGGTCTGAAGTAATCTGACAGCCTTAATGCTGTGTTTCCGTCAGAAGGACCCTGGATCGTTTAAGGGTCTGTGTTAAATTAAACATTTAGGAACAGTTAGTTGGGTTTATCCGAAGTTTCAAGTGGCCCACTGTGTCCCAAATCTGTCACTTTGCTGTTGATATATCTGCTTCAGAGTATCTCCAAAAATCCCCCCGAAATGCCTGGTTTACGGGCAATCTCGTTTATATGGCTTTTTGCGTAAACCATCTGTTGGCTGGTCTTTAGAAATTTGTGTTACGGTACTCGGTCCAAATTTCACTGTTTAATGTTTGTTTACTGCTGCCATGCGGATAGACGCTCCTGCTGCCACTTCGCACGTACTTTTAGCTCAGGGGAAGTGCATTTAAAGAGTGGTATAAGAAAAAGTGTGAAGATGACCCCAGCTGGATCAACGGTCAATAAAGGTTAAAATACTGGCCGTATTTTCAGCAGAGTCTGGGGGGCGGGGTCAGCTTGCGGGACAGGGGATATTAATGATAAATCTCTCCGGTATCTGAGTCTTATTTCTGTATATGTTTTTGGGCTCTATGGATACGACAGGGTAGCGCTTTTCTTTTCGGTCCTTCTTTTCGGTTTAAGCGCTTTTCTTTCGGTGCTTCTTTCAGAACTGACATGATTGCAATTGACTGTCACCAATTGGTGTGAAATTTCGGTTCCGGTAGTTTGTGCGTCACATGGACGATTCTTCACCGTGGTTTATTCTGTATTAATACCCTTGGTGTTTCCCTTAGTAGTATAGTTTCAAACGACGTCGTCGGCGTTTCATACTCCAGCCTATAAGTGTAAAGGAAAGGTTGTGGCTCCAGAGAGGAGGGCGGTAATGGAGGAATACATAGTAATTTGTATTGAATGTTTCGTTGTGGGGAGAACAAAAACGAAAATAACCAAATACGAGAATGCGGAAACAATTTTCACCCCGGTCCATTGCTCGTTTTCCCCCAGTAGTTGAAGCATGTTGCATCACGGGAAGAATGATGAGCCGGTGTTTTGCTCTGATGATATTTGTTTAACTTTTAAAACCGCAGATTCACGCCTTTGAGCCGCCTGGTGACTGAGGAGTTGTGTAATTTTCAAAACTTGAAAAAACCGCGTTGCCTAAGAGCGCGAAATGCTGCCGTAGAGCCCCGTTGCCGTAGAGCCCCGCTGCCGGGCCTGGCGCTGGTGCCGCTACGTGGACAGACCACAGCCACTCTTTCCACGGCCAGTAATATACTGTCTCTCTCTGCCCCCCACCCCACGAAGTAATATACTGTCGCGAAAACGGTTATTTATAGCTGTCACTGATGGAGAAGTTCAGAGTTCAGCATGTTACCGAGGTGGGCACTACACTGCCTGTTGGCCAATAAAAAACGGATTTCCGCTGAAGTAAGAGGGTCTGTGATGCTTCGGAGGGGAGGGGTGTGTGTGTATGGCATGTCATTAACTTCACTGTTATTCCCTCACACCACACTCCCCCCCCCCCCCCCCTCACGTTTCACCCCTGCTATTCATACTGAAGTTGCTTGCGGGTGTAAACCAGCATTTTTGTGACCCTTGTGGTTCCTCAGGACCCTGTGGTGCTTCATGCAGCCGTGTCTAGACTGAACTTTAAAGACGGGCCCATGCAGTTTTCATCTCTGGTTCTGATGGTGCTTGATAGGGTGGTTGGCCCCTGTGCTGTGCGTGGGGCTCAAGATTGTGGCGAGGATGTGGGCCATCAGAAGGGAAGGTCTAGTGCTTATAGGTTATGCTCGGTAAATAACTTTCCAGGTGTTTTTGACTGAAATCTGCTGCTGATCTGGAAAGCATGGTCAGACTCATTAAAATTGAGCAGGACAGGTTGTGTTAGCATGGCTGCAGTTCCGGTGTCACCAAGGCTGGTTCTTAGACCTGGGATTCAGTGCAGTGTTGGACGCACAGGCCACTCCCTTATAATGCAGGGGTCCCAGCACTGCTGCACAGGCCCGACTCATGCCAGAACTCCCTCTGCTCCTAATGTCCGCTTAGGATCAGCCATACGATCTGCTGAAACTCCACTGCTAATCCGCTCTTTTTTCCACTCTGACTGTGTGTTGCGGACTTGGACCTTTGTTTCCGAGACCACTTGTGCACAAAGAACGTGACTTTGAGTCGAACGGGCCGTTTTGAGATGGAAATAGAAGCAAGCAGAGTTACATGGTGGAAGAGTGAATCTCACTTTGATTTGGCTGTGTGCGGTGAGGGGAGCAGGTTGGGAATGGAGAGTGTAACGTTTTGGATGATTGCAGGTTTTTACTTTCCGTCAGGCTGAAAACAGGACCTGCCGATAAAGGGAGCGGCGTGTCAGGAGGAAGGCGGGGCTTCCGTAGCATTTTTGCGCTGCATTTAGAACTCTGTAAAAAATGGTTGTTGTAAAATACCGGGACAAACAGCGATAGCTGACTCTTTCTCGTGATGGAACTAAAATAAGATCACCTGTCTTCATGTGCCCGGGGTGGTCTTTAGCGCGGGGCTATCGGTGAATCTCCACGCCTGCCCGCGGTCCCGTGGCACGCGTTTGTTGAGCGCGTCCCGCAGTGCCCTGTTAATATGTTGCTGCGGCTGATTTAATTCCTGCACGGAGCAGAGACTTAAACAGGCAAGCAGACACCCAGGGCTTCAGACGCGCCGGATAATCATGTCGCTCATGCGTCTGCCTGGCCGCCTTTCGGCGAAACGAGGCTCCAGTTTTAATAAATACGTTCCTAATTTGTCACTTGGGCAACAGTGGTCAGTTTAGATAATTGTTTTTACTTAGAGATCCAGCCTCCTTTTAACCCTATGCCAGTGGATGACTGATTTTCATCTATATATATATAATATATATTTATTTTAGGTCTCTTCACTTAGTAATATCATTCCTACTTTTATTTGAGCTTGCCCATTTTTGTAGCGAATGCATTTTCGTTATCTTATCTCTTCCCCCCGCCCCCCCCCTTTCTGGGTGACTTTTACTCCTGACTGCATCATAACTCTTTTAGCCCCCTGTTTCTGTGCCCCCCCGGGACAGATGATGGTTAGCGTTCATCTAGAGGCCTTAAAATGTTCACCTACTGTGTCTTCCCACCATTCGGTTGCCAATCCGTGATTTGTTTTAACATCCACTTTCTTATTGGTAGGTACCCCTGCTGTTATTGGTTTAAATGTGTGTTATTTGAGCGTGCGAGTGCACACTGAGGCTTTTCTGAGCGTGCGAGTGCACACTGAGGCTTTTCTGAGCGTGCGAGTGCACATTGAGGCTTTTCTGATGCTCTGCATTGGGGAAGTGGACTTTATGCCATGTGTGAGTACCTGCTGTGAATGGTTACCTGGCTGCTTCCTGATTTTAAAGGGAATGACCCTATTTAATTACGCTCATTTTCCTTCAAATTTTCCAAAAAGATGCCCCCCTGTTGCACTATAATGAATGGGACTACAAGTATTCCCTTCTGCGTGCATGGGAAGGGTAAAGATGGGCTTGGGTTTGGTGCGGTGATCCCGCATCCCTTAGGTGCGGGCCTGTTGCGCTGCCCCCTGCTGGCTGTGCTCTGATGCACACAGCAGCCTGACAATCAGAGGGCACCTCTACAGACTGTCCTTTTGTCTGGAGATTGTGGCTTTCAGTTGTGGTTTGGCAAATCATTTGGGTGCTTTTTTAATCTTAGGTGGTTGCGGAGGGGCTGAAGAAAGTCCCCCCACCCTCAGACAGCCATGCAAACTTGAGAATTTGTTGTTATTGCCCCCCCCCCCCCCCCGGAAGCCTTATCACACCACCTCATCCTCACAGCTGAGCCCCGCCCTCTCAGTGGGTGACGGATGCAGTTGCTGCAGTGTGGCAGACTGCTGCTGTCGTAACCAGAGAGACTTACCTCAGCTCACCAGCTCAACGCTTCAGCCAGAGAGGGGTGACCTGTAGCTTGACGCCCACCCCCCCTTCCCCAACAAAAAATTCCGGACCAGCACGTGAATATAAACCTTTAGCCCAAATGTGTTCCCCCCTCCAAGAAAGAGCTTAATAAAGATGGCAGGGTTGTGTGTTTCTATCAGTTCTCCCCGTTGGCCAGGAGTCGTTTTGGAGTCTAGCATTCTCTGTGCCGTGTTCCTTCACGCCCCCCCCCCCCACCCCACCCCTTTATGAGAGAGGAGAGAACAG